TATTAATATTACAACTGTTACTGTTGTAAGTGTAAATAATATGATAGACAAAAAAAAGAAAAAACCAAAAAAAAACAATTAAAATAATTATTTTTTTTTTTTGGTTTAAAAACGAAAATTATAATCCCTGGGACCAGGGAGAAACGGCATTATTTATTTATTTTTTTTTTTCTTTTGCGCACACTTAATATTATTATAACTATTACTATTGTTTGTGCAAATAATATAAATTAAAAGATAAAAATTTACTTTAATTTAATTTAAAATTATTTTAAAAACGAAAACTATAAACACTACGCACGCTCTGTATGCGTGACACCAATTTGCGCGCCGCCGCCGATTCCGGGAACGGCCGGCCGTCTGCGGTGCGCCGCGCTCGGCGTTGTAATTCGACACCGCCCTGCGGCTGTCGATTCGGCACTATTTTCAAGGATTAATAACTAATTAAGTTTTAAACTTACAGCTTTGGCGATGGTATGCCTGCCTTGCTGGTGCTGCGCTGGATCCAACAAGCTTTCAATGGTAGCTCTACCACAACTGGGAGCCGAACGAGAATCAAAAACAGTTACACTCGCGTTCCCCGTGTAACGCACACTGTTATTTTTCACCGCACAAAATAATTAACAAGTAAAAACTTGCGACTTACAAACGTCACTGCCGGTTCAATAATCCACCGACCTAAACGGTAGACCCCGCGTTGAATCGACGAGCGCGAGACGAATTTTTCAAGCCGCCGCACGCACTGATCGGACTTAAAAAGTTTCGATTACCCCACTGCCGTGCGCGGGACAGCAAAATAGTACGAAAACACGATTTATCCAAACTTAAATCGGCACCACGACTTTAATATTTTAACGATTTCTTTGCCGAACCCCGCGTTGTGACGACAAAGCCAAGACGGATTTTTCGACACGTCAAACACAAAAACGGTCGAAAAAAATTCGCGCAAAAACACTCAATGACACGGAGCGACCGGAGACATATGTGCACTCGACGGCTGCTACAACGCGACTAACCTAACCTAACCTAACCTAACCTAACCTAACCTAACCTAACCTAACCTAACCTAACCTAACCTAACCTAACCTAACCTAACCTAACCTAACCTAACCTAACCTAACCTAACCTAACCTAACCTAACCTAACCTAACCTAACCTAACCTAACCTACCTAACCTAACCTAACCTAACCTAACCTAACCTAACCTAACCTAACCTAACCTAAACCTAACCTAACCTAACCTAACCTAACCTAACCTAACCTAACCTAACCTAACCTAACCTAACCTAACCTAACCTAACCTAACCTAACCTAACCTAACCTAACCTAACCTAACCTAACCTAACCTAACCTAACCTAACCAAACCTAACCTAACCTAACCTAACCTAACCTAACCTAACCTAACCTAACCTAACCTAACCTAACCTAACCTAACCTAACCTAACCTAACCTAACCTAACCTAACCTAACCTAACCTAACCTAACCTAACCTAACCTAACCTAACCTAACCTAACCTAACCTAACCTAAACCTAACCTAACCTAACCTAACCTAACCTAACCTAACCTAACCTAACCTAACCTAACCTAACCTAACCTAACCTAACCTAACCTAACCAAACCTAACCTAACCTAACCTAACCTAACCTAACCTAACCTAACCTAACCTAACCTAACCTAACCTAACCTAACCTAACCTAACCTAACCAAACCTAACCTAACCTAACCTAACCTAACCTAACCTAACCTAACCTAACCTAACCTAACCTAACCTAACCTAACCTAACCTAACCTAACCTAACCTAACCTAACCTAACCTAACCTAACCTAACCTAACCTAACCTAACCTAACCTAACCTAACCTAACCTAACCTAACCTAACCTAACCTAACCTAACCTAACCTAACCTAACCTAACCTAACCTAACCTAACCTAACCTAACCTAACCTAACCTAACCTAACCTAACCTAACCTAACCTAACCTAACCTAACCTAACCTAACCTAACCAACCCAACCTAACCAAACCAAACCTAACCTAACCTAACCTAACCTAACCTAACCTAACCAACCTAACCTAACCTAACCTAACCTAACCTAACCTAACCTAACCCAACCTAACCTAACCTAACCTAACCTAACCTAACCTAACCTAACCTAACCTAACCTAACCTAACCTAACCTAACCTAACCTAACCTAACCTAACCTAACCTAACCTAACCTAACCTAACCTACCTAACCTAACCTAACCTAACCTAACCTAACCTAACCTAACCTAACCTAACCTATTACTCATATTATTTTGAGTCCTATAGATATTATAGTTATTATTTCCAATTGTGTTTATACTAAATCTATTATGTTTATTTTTCAAAAAATGTAAAACCATCTCTTCGTCATTTACTCTAAGAGATAACTGCAATTTACGTAAATTGATTATACCTTCATAGATTGTTAAAAAATCCATGCCTAAAAGACTATTACCTTTCAAATTTTTTACCACTGCACATTCTATTTCAAACGGCACATTGTTAAAATACACTATAATATTTGTTTTTCCTACAAAATGTAGTTGCGAACCTATCGCAGTATATAATTTTGTTTGCCCAAATGAATTAATATATTGATTTTTTGGAAGTAAAGATTCATTAATAACGCTTACACTTGCTCCTGAGTCAATAGTGAACTTATAACCAACATTATTTAAAATACCTCTAATTACTAGGTTATTACTTAGACCATTTTTGTTATTCATAAAACAGCTACTTATATTTTCTACTAACGGGGGTGGTCTTTGACTATTATCATTAGACCATGCATTATAATTATTACCATTAGGATTCATATACCCTTGTTGATTGTATAGATTTCTATTATTAATATTACGACCATCGTCGTAACTATTAATGTTATAATTACCATTATTATGCCTATTTATGCCGTTATTAAAACTATCCTTAAAATTATTGTTGTTTCTATTAACTGTTCGAATATGATTTATTCCATAGGGGGTTTGAGTTAAAGTGGACTCTGCGATTTGTTTTGTGAGTGTCTCTACTTGAATTCTTAAGGCTTCTACCTCGGGGTTGGTTGGGGTATTAAATAAATTTCGGGCTCCTTCGGCCTTTCTTAAATTAGATTCTAATTTTTTCATAGTAGAATTGTCTTGCATACAAATCATACTAAAATACTCGGGTGGTAATTTACGCATTACTTGTGTTATTTTGGATTCTTCAGACATGTCAGGGTCAATTTCATCAGAAAGGCGGTTAAAGTCACATATAAACTCATTAACTGTTTCGTCAAGATTCAGTTTTCTTTGAGTTAATTTAACTTTAAGCATGTTTTTACGGGTTACTGTATTAAACGCTTTTTTAAATTTATCTTTAATATTGGCCCAAGTTAAATTGGTATTTCTTTTTTCAAATAAAAAATAGAAAGATTCTGCAGTGCCTTTTAAATAAAATGGAAAGTACAATAAGGTTTGTTCATCCGTCTAATTATTTAATTTTTTTATCCTATCGAATTTGGTAATGAAATCGTAGACAGATTCGTCGCTTGTACCGTGAAAAGTGTCTAGGGCAAGAGGTGATAAGTTTGCTATCATAGGGGCTGTCATATTGAATTCTTGATCGTAATATTCAATAAAATATAATAAGAATTTAAAAGAAAAATGTTAACCAAATATTATAAAATAAATTAATAAATTTCAATATTAAATGCAATTTGATACTTAATAAAAAAAAAATGTACTTTACTACAACCTGAGAGTTAATTAAAAATAGCAGGTACAATTATATGGGGTCGTGTCCGTCGTGTATTCCCTTAAAAATATTGGGGTCCCTCCCTGAGGTAAGACTAACGAATATCGGCGCCTCCACCAAATTGTAAAGTGTCTGCGTGGCTAGTTGGCTAGGCTAGGCTGAAACGACAGTCGATAGGGTTAAATTAGTGGACCCTAAGACGGGACGGATGGCTAGGCCGTATCTACACTTAAATATCCCTAAAGTCTCCTTTGTATATTTGCTATATCGCCTGAGGAGCTTAACAGGCGATCGTACCTCTAAATAACTTAACTCTCAAGTGTGCAACGAAACGAAAACAGGTTTATTAAATAAGTAAAGCTATGTGTATATATTACACCTCTACCTGGATCCTAAAGTGTTCTTTGTAGTTAGTCCAGGTAATGGCGGAGTTGAACGGACACACGAGTACGGGTAAAGTTAAAAGAAATATAAAATAGTAATGTAACGTGAAATATAGGTAATGGCTTTAGAATAATTAGGTCGCGGTCCGAAGATGGTAGTATGTCAACTAACTGGGCATCGGTGCCCCTGGCATTGTCCCGTGTATCTGTTGTCTCCCCTACCTATAATGGCTTACATGCTAATCGGGGTAAACTGCTAATAATGCATATTTGGAGGCGAGTGGTAACGGGCGGCTAAATGTGACCGTTACAGTTTATTCCCTAATGGGGATTAAACACCTGATGGAGGGCAGCAGTAACCATCAGTACTGAAACGAGGCGGAAGAAGAACCGTCTGGTACTGCTCGTTATCAGATTATTCAGAATATTATTATCAGAATACTGCGATGAGGAAAGTAAGGGGAGACTACCACATGATACTCCCATGTCTTATGACCAGAAAAAACATTGCCAAAAGCTACGTATGGAGTGTTTTGTTGTATAGTTGTAAAACTGGACCTTGACAGTACGAGATACAAAAAACAACGAAACAATAGAAATGTGGACCTGGAGAAGATTACTTCGTATTAGTCGGACTGAAAGAAAGAGCAATGAAGAAATTCTCCAAATAGTAGAGGAAACGAGAGTATTGCTATCCATCATTAGATGATTGGAATGGCTGGATGCAACGGGTATTCACATATGAAGACTCTAGCATTAAAGAGAGAAGAGTGGAAGTCTATATTTTCGCTATGACAAGGCTTAGTCTTTAGAAAATAAAGATCCTATATTAGGATAGAAAAAAATCATAATTACCCAAAAAGTAAATTTTGATGTTATTACTGCTATAAATTCGTTCGGTGACATTTTAGTACCTAGAAAGCATTATAAAAGTGTTCACATTAAAATTTACTAAACTACAATATGCTGTAAGGGATGGAGTTGTTGCAATTTTTGATATTGCGTTTTTATAAAGTAACGTCATTAAGGGTACTACACATTAAAATGACCTAAAAACAATAGTTTTATTTGTCCCCTTGTTTAGTTTTAAAACAATCGCGTTTAAAACAAAATTCTTGGGGAATGTCGTTAAATAAATATTTCAATATTAATTACAGATTGTGTAACTTTTACAAAACGTTTCACATTCTGACACGATTTGTAAGAAACAATATAAAAGCGTTTTATATTTTTATAGTAACTTGATCTACCCAACTACCTTTACAGACATCTTCTGCATTTTTTTTTTACCCCCCGACGCCTTTTTCATAAAAGTATAAATACCCCTTAGAAATGTTGGAAAAAACGCACTACCCAATATTCCAACATACCCAACTATCGATATTTATTTATGTATAACATCGAAGTGAATATTAGTTTTCACATTTCACACATATATTTTACAATATACATTAATTATTATTATTGTTCAACGTACTCCACACTGAACAAAGTATCTTATTGATATCGAATATAGAAATATCAAAATCTCTCATCACGTTTTGTTGTTTTATGTACTCTATTACTGTTTCCTTGGTAACATCGTTGCCTTGTTCTAAAATCTTTGTATGAAGTCTGGTTAGAATCTAAAATTATTAACATTTTTAATAAACAATGTGAATACTGTTTTTTAGAATTGATGTGTCTCGAACTTTTTACTATTATATTAATCAATAGATTTATGGAGAATTGCATTTTTTTTTAATGAATCATATAATTAGATAGAAAATATTTTAAATTACCGACGGATCTTCGCAAAGCCCAGGATTTGCTTTAGACAAATGAACAAACAAAGATAAAAACAGAATACAATTTTTAAAATTCATGATTGTCTGTTTTTTTTCAACGCCTAAGATATTCGAATACTGTTCTGCCGTTGTTTAAAACTTAAATGATTCTTATTCTTTTAAATGGCTTCTGTTGTAGCGATTTCAGTGTAAAACTTATAAGACTTGTATAAACGCATATGTATTTTGTTTGTTCAATGTAGTTTAAAATTCTATTTTGAAATAAATAATCGTGGCTATAGCCTATGAATCGTAAAAAAATAGTAGTTGTTTTGCCGCTTGACAAACACTAACAATTTAGCTATTACTTGTTTACTCATCCGTCTTTAAACTTTTTGTAGAATAAACGTATTATAGAAAAATTATTGTTTTTCAAATTACTTCCAAATTGATATTGTAATTTTAGACGTTTTATTATTTGTATTATGTTTGTTTCATATGATTACAATAGGAAACTTAACCAAGTTAGGAATCCAGGATTTTAATTCTATATTTGAAACGAATGAAGCAAGGTTCGAACATACTATCTTTGAACAATAGTTTAGTATTGTACTGGTAAAAAGATATACGAAAAGTCTCTCAGAATTTTCCATCTCAATTTACCCCAAACGAGTTTTATCATTACACCGAATTTTATATTATTTTAATAAATTTCAATTTCTGAAGATTCATTTTGACACTTTAAGAACCGTTTTCATATATGTAGTTGTATACACGATTACTCAATCACTCTTTTACTCAGTTCTAGCCTGGCAGAGATGTTATTGCGATTTCAGTGTAAAACTTAACAAAATGTATATGTACAATTCTTTCAATATATGTTGAAATTGTATATTGAATTTTGAAATTGTGGCTACAGTCTATGAATCGTATAAAAACAGTAGTGTTTTTGCCGTTTAATAAAAACAAAAATGTATCTAATACCTATTTACAAAACCGTCACATAGCAATATATTAGTACTTTTTAGCTTGTCGTGAACTAACCGTTTTATAGGAAAAATATTTGTTTTCAAATCACTCACATTGATATTATTAATTTAGACGTTTTATTATTTGTATTAGGTTTCTTTCGTATGATTAAACTGGTAAATTTACTTAAGTTTAGTTAGGAATCCTTCATTTTATTTCTACTGTTGTAAAACTTTTTTTTTTAAATGAATGACATAATATCATTGAATAATAGTGTGGTATTATATTGGTGACATCATACATTGTTATTTTAGACGTTCTATTATTTGTATTATGTTTCTTTCATATGATTACAATGGGACACTTAACCAAGTTAGGAATCCAGGATTTTAATTCTATATTTTAAACAAATGAAGCAAAGTTTCGGGTTCAAACATACTATCTTTAAACAATAGTTTAGTATTGTACTGGTAAAAAGATATACGAAAAGTCTCTCAGAATTTTCCATCTCAATTTACCTCAAACGAGTTTTTTCATTACACCGAATTTGATATTATTTTAACCCTTCACTGAATGAATTTTTTTTAACCATATGCTATAATGTACTTAGTACTACTTAAAAAAATAAAAATAAATTTTTTTTTAGTTTTGGTTTCATGAAAAGTACTAATTAAAGAATTGTTCCAATTATGAAACATTGTGCATACAAAGATGTATAGCAAGAACAGATGTAAACAATACATACAATAGTTCCATATATGGAACATTGTGCAGTAAAGGGTTAATAGATATCAATTTCTGAAGATTCATTTTAATACTTTAAGAACCGTCTTCATGTAGTTGTGTACATGATTACTCAATCACTCTAATTATTTCAAAATTATAAGTATGAGCTTGTAAAAAAAGTAAATTTAAAACAAGTTATCGTTTAGTTATATCATTTGGGACGATATTAATCATTCGTTTCAGGAACAATATTACTATTTACTATACAACACATACGGTTTGAAATATATTTCATAGTATTCAACATTTCTGATACCCCATTTCATATATATATATATATATATATATATATATATATATATATATATATATTCTTTAAAATTATCACATTATTTATAAAGTGCGAAATCAAAATATTTGAAATTCAAGTAGTATATTATATGATAAGATTATTCAAGTTTTTATTTTAGAAACAACCTTCGATAATGACAATGTTTTTTATTCTTAAAAAATAATATTTTTGATTAAGACACTTAGGTCATAAATAAACAACAACAGTTGTAAAATAACCAAAATTTTATTTCAAAAAAGGACTGTAATTTTGTATTTTGGTCGATAAGACATATTATTATTTGTTTTCAGCTGAGAACAGAAAATGTTACACAGCTAAAAATGTCATTACCTACTCATTATTTTTACTAAAAATAATGTTAGTATTCCAACGATAAGTATTCGTATTGTACATTAGATAAGATAATTTGGTATCGCTTCAAACTAAAAAAATCGTATTTAGTTAACTTCATACATGTTTTGCTTAATACAAAAACATATTATTATTTGAATAATACACGTGCAAAATATTTTTCTGCTCTAGCCTGGCTGTGGTGTTATTGCGATTTTATGCATATTGTTTTTTCAGTATAGGTTGAAATTTTAAAATTAATAATCGTGGCTACAGCCTATGAATCGTAAAAACAAGTAGTTGTTTTCAAATATTATGTAGCCTTAATATTTTTTTTTGTCTTAAGCACAAAAACATGTTTTTATTATTTGAACAATTCTTATGCACGCTATTTTTTACACATTTAGATCTTTAAGAAGTCTATTCAAAATAATTATAAACTCTTCAAAATTGCTGAAAACCCATTTGCTATATTTAATCTTAAATTTTAACACATTATATATAATGTACGAAATCAATACATATACAATTTAATTAGTATATTATATGATAGGATTATTAATTAATTAAAATTTTTATTATACAAATAACCATTTGATAATAAAAATATAGTTTTCAATTCTCGAAATAATATCTTAGATATGAACACTTCGGTCATAAATAAACAACAACAGTTATAAAATAACCAAAATGTTATTTCAAAAAAACTGTAGTTTTAAATTTTTTTAATAAGACATTTTATTTGTTTCTGGCCGAGTATCGAAAATCTTACAAAGTTAAAACATACATTTTTTATAATAGCTACAAACAATTTTGGTATCCTAATGTAAAACGAGATTCATCAATACACCAACTTTTAATTATTTTTATATATTTCAAGGGAAGTTCTAGTGATTTAGGTTTGCTTATTTTTCTGTTTATGTACTATAACATTAGATCTGTAAGAGGCATCTGTATTGGAATTTTCCATCGCAATTTACTCTAAACAAGTTTCATCCATACGTAGAATTTCAATTATATTAACAGATTTCCATTCCTAACGAGTCCTTTAAAACTTTAATAGCCATGTTTATATAATTGTACCTAAATACAATTACTCTATTATTTTATTGCTTAATTCTAGCCTTGCACTTAAAGATTCATAAAAAATAAAAAGATTTTTTATTTAGTAATTTCTCATGTGACACCTGTTAATTGGCATCAAAGTAAATGAAGGATGTCTTCGGTATGCCCGCACACGTCAGTTGTTTCAAATTTTAATTACACCCATTTTCCACCCACCTAGGGGTTAGGTTAGGGGGTACAAGTTTTTTTGTTTTTTTAGTTTTTTAACCATAATTTTAGGACCTTTAAGTAGAAAATTTACCAATAGTTAGAACTCATATGTATCCATAACATATTAAACAAAAAAGGTTTATTAGACACCGTATACTTCAATTCGTAAATCCATAAAAATATTTCAAATATTTAATTATTATTAAATATTTCGATTGACATCGAATCAAATTTTTCATTATATAATCACTCATAGTTGTATTTATTTTTGAACACTATTTACTTTCTTAACTAAGTTTAAATCAACGTAAATTCAAATCAGATGATTTTATATAACTTTTATAAAATGTGTAGGCATTCCTACAGTTTCTGTTGTTTTTCAAACCGATATATTTATACATGAGTTACCTAAATATGTTTTGCATTAAATACAAAACTGATTTTTTCCAATATTTTAACAATACCCATGCACATTATTTTTCTATTTATTTACTACACCTTTAGGTATTTAAAAGGCCCATGTCTCTAGGGAGACTTACATTTCAGCTTTAAAATAATATTGTTATTATTCATATTGAAATTTGTTTTTCATTATATTATAGAGAATATAAAACAAAAGCTACAGTAGTGCCTAGGTAAGGTTTACTTTTATAATATGAGTTGTTTAAAACTCGAAAAAATAGTTGACTGTTATGGTGGTACATTATGTTCAGGTCGCAAACTTTTACTGTAATGGAAGTATATAACATGTATTTTCTATATAATAAAATATTATTTATGTTGAGTACAAATGATTGTAGCATAAATCATTGACCATTCCAACATAATTTAACAAGTGATAAACAAATGTAACTCAGTGTTACACAAGTTTTAAAATAAAATAGTTCAGTGGTTTTTTTTTATATAGGCCAAACTGTATAGTATGCATATACTATGAGTTCAAACAGACATTTTATTTAGCATCAACAGTAAAAGATAAAGTATCTTTGTATAAAAAAAAAGCTGGTGCGGTGGGGATGGATTATATTAGGGTTGGGAGGTTACAAATCTATATGAATTAGTACAGCTGAAAGTGTTAAAATTACTTTCGAATAAACACTCCGATGCGAATCTATAATGGTATAGCACCGTCTATACTTGTATTTAAGTATCAATAAAATAATTGTACCTAAAGACAATAATGTGCTAAAAAATGTGTTTTTTTGTAATAGGGTCAATACGATTAGGGATTTGATCGTTTGTCTGTAACAATTTACTGCTATAGCTACTCATATATCGTACCTAATTAACAATATAATAGAAATATTTTCCAATACACGTTAACTGTTGATTAACATACACATTGCAACCTAATGATTGACAATGGTCAATGTGTAAATTTTTCCCCTTTTTAGGTTTTCCTTATTAAAAAGTTGAAAAAAGTTGAATAGTAAAAGACCCAATAATTGCTAACCGAAGAAACTGGTTCAGTGACCGAGTTCAAATCCCTTCTAA